ATAACTGTTTGTCAGGTATTTAATATTAAAAATCTTCCTTTAAACATAATCTAGTTGTCTGTACTTCTTTTATTGTTCTTATTGCAGTATTTAATGTGTGAGTTATTAAACTACCTTTCAGTATATCTTTTGGTATAGTTAAAATGGTCATTAGGACATAGAACCTGTTGTTAATTTATTTGAATCCCACCACTGACTGTAGACAGATTAAAAGTACTGTATATCATCCCTCCCCCCCCCCATTCAATAGCTTACTTCTTCCCAATTAAAGGAAAAGTGGGATAGATGTGCCCTGCGGTGTGTTCCCCACGTTCTTTTGTGTGTCCCGACCACCTTTCCATAAGAGCCATGAAACCTGTCGAACCCCCCCCCGCCACGGTTGCCTTTAAAAAGGCACTTTTTAAAGTCCTCCCCTCAGAAAGGAGAGGGGGCTTCTTTCTCTCTCCGCCCCCCCCCACAAGGCCTGGTTCCTTATGCAGACACACCCACTGTTAAGTTTAATATATGACTTCAGAAGGTCAAGGAAGAAATTCATTAACAAAAGGCTACAAGGCCTATGAAGTGACCCACGGGCCCCCTTGGGGTCATGACCCCCCAGATTGGGAAAAAAAACGATTTAAAACTTCTAAAGCCATTGGCTTCTGGCTTAAGAAAGTAAGAAACCAGCCTGGATGCAACTAACGAAAAAGGGAGCAGGAACCCTTTCTGTGAGAGGACTCCGGCCTCCACAGTGGTGTGAATTGGGGGGTGGGGAGGGGAGGGTTCCCCAAAATCATTGCTCTGTGTGATTTTTAACACCTCACACACACACACACACACACACACACACACACACCAAAAAGGTTGCAGGGAGTCATTCTGGTGTTTTTATTTATTTGTTTGTTGGTTGGTTGGTTGGTTTGATTGATTGATTGATTGATTTATGCCCCGCCTATCTGGCCCACCGGATTTTTAAGATTTCATTCCCCAAATAATGGTGAACGAAATCCATCGAAATCAAGCGTTGGCCCATAACTGAAGGACAAGCTGCCGAGACAGAAATACTGTACAGTGGTGCCTCACAAGATGAAATTAAGCCGGTTAAGCCGGCCTAGCGAAAAGTTCATCTTGCGAAGCGCGGTTTCGCATCAGAATTCATTGAAAATTATTTAATGTGTTCCTATGGGGGAAAAAGTTAGAAACTATGTGAGGAGAGAGCTGAACGGCTGAGAGTCGGCAGCCATTTTGGGAGTCAACTGCATGGCTGCCGCCTCTCCGAGGGTGGCTGGCTCTCAGCCGTTTGCCGCTCTTTTTCGCCTGTTCCCGGCCCACCAAGGCAATGTGGGGAGCCGGCCTCCCTCTACTGTACCGGGTAAGTGACTTTTTCTGACTTTTTCTTTAGTTTCTGACTCCCTCCCCCCCCCCACTGTTTGTTTGTTCAGTCGTTTGCATGGCTGCCGCCTCTCCGAGGGTGGCTGGCTCTCAGCCTTTTGCCGCTCTTTTTCGCCTGTTCCCGGCCCACCAAGGCAATGTGGGGAGCCGGCCTCCCTCTACTGTACCGGGTAAGTGACTTTTTCTGACTTTTTCTTTAGTTTCTGACTCCCTCCCCCCCCCCACTGATCTCATCCTCTGTCATCCCCTTCTCCTCTTGCCTTCACACTTCCCCAACATCAGGGTCTTTTCCAATGAGTCTTCTCTTCTCATGACGTGGCCAAAGGATTGGAGCCTCAGCTTCAGGATCTGTCCTTCCAGTGAGCACTCAGGGTTGATTTCCTCCACAACGGATTGGTTCTCCTTGCAGTCCAGGGGACTCTCAAGAGCCTCCTCCAGCACCACAATTCAAAGGCATCAATTCTTCGGCGGTCTGCTTTCTTTATGGTCCAGCTCTCACTTCCATACATCACGACAGGAAAAACCATAGCTTTGACTATTCGGACTTTTGTTGGCAAGGTGATGTCTCTGCTTTTCAAGATGCTGTCAAGATTTGTCATCGCGTTCCTCCCAAGAAGAAGGCGCCTTTTAATTTCAGGGCTGCTGTCTCCATCTGCAGTGATCATGGAGCCCAGGAAGATAAAATTTGACACTGCCTCCATATCTTCCCCTTCTATTTCCCAGGAGGTGAGGGGACCAGTGGCCATGATCTTAGTTTTTTTGATGTTGAGTTTCAGACCGTTTTTTGCACTCTCCTCTTTCACCCTCATTACAAGGTTCTTTAGTTCCTCCTCACTTTCCATCCCAAGGTCTTAAAAAACCAGGGGGGCTCAAAAGGGAGAGAAAAGACTTCAGCTGGCCTGAATGGGAGGCATTCAGAGGTCAAAGCCAGTCCTTTGAATTGGGCCTGGTTGTGGAGGGGTAAAGTTTTTCTTTGGGTCGGTACGTTATGTGTTGTATTCTGTCCTCTTTGACAGGTGCAGAGACCATGGCGGACCTGCCTCTGATCCTTGGTTCTCTGTTCTTGGATAAAGACCCTGGCCAGGCACCAGAACTCCAGAGCCGAGATCTGGGGGACCTCTTCGCCAGCCTGGAGGAGGAGCAACCCTGGCGGGACTCTGACTGGGATGCGAATGCCCAGCCAGTCCTGGAAGCCAGCCCGCCGTGGAGGTTCTTGAACACCTTCCTCCCACCGGAATCTTCCTGCCTGTCCCGCCGTCTCCTGCTCGCTGCTGATCTGCCCAGTGGAACTGCCGGCCCAGCCATCATGAGTAGCAGCATCACGACGCTGTGTTCTTTCTCTCTGTTCTGCAGCGTCCACCTCTCCTTCTGCCTGATCTCCGGATTCGACAGGTAGGCGAAACCTTCCCACTCCTTGGGGGGGGGGAGGAAGTGTTCAAAGAGAAGAAGAGACGACCCCCTTGTTAGCCCACCTGAGCAAAAAAAAATTGACACATAAGGGATGAATAAGGGTGTAGAAGCCCCAGGGCAGCAGAGTTAAGGTCCAGATCACTGACAATGCAATTCCAGGGGATGCCAGAGTTGAAAATAAAGAACTGGAAAAACTAACAATACAGAACACACTTCCGTGGTCCCTGTAGTCATTCAGGCTTTGGGAACAATATAAGTGAAGGTGGGCCTCGGCCTCTTCTGGCTGCAGAGATGGGGTTGCCGGGGGGGGGCGGGTTATTCTGGAAGCCAGGCGAGTCGTTGAAAAAGACTTCCAGAGAGTGGTGGTTGGCACCTCTGGTCTCCTTATAGGCAGGAATGCCAGGATCCAGTTTTTCCAAATAAAGCGTCCCATCGGACAAGCGGTTCCCCTTTGCAAAGTTTGGGTTTGCTGTAGAATTACATTTGCTTTCTCCCCAAAACTTGGAGATGGGGAAGGCTAACCACGTACGGCCCTGGCAGCTCTTAACAGCCCAGCAGAATTATTTTTTTCTGGACTACAGCTCCCAGAACTCCCTAGCTTGGGGGTCAGGGCAGTTACGGTCCTGAAGCAAAATTTTTCCCCAAATGGATTGCAGAGGCTCCCAGGAACCAACGCCTTTTCTGTTTTCCAGAAGCCCCCCCCCCCGGTCCGAGGAGACGAGGCCGGGCCAGGCCGAAGGAGGGGTCCAGATCCCAGGACAGGCCCTGCCCCGTCACGGTGTGGATCACGGAGAAGATGGAACTGGATCCAAACTTCGTGGAGGCTGACCTGTGGCCCCCGCCCGAGGGGGCCTCGCCCACCCCCCTGGACCCAGACGAGAGAGCCGGAGAGGGCACCCCCTTACCAAAGAGGAGCCGATGGATAAAGCCCCTCCCCCAATGGGGGGGTCTCCTCAGGGGGAGCACCGAAGACCCCCAAAAGGTTACTCTGTGCTGGGGGGAGGGGGGAAAGGGATAAAGCCATTTGCTTTGTCCCCAGAACTTGGAGATGGGGAAGGCTAACCACGCGCCCCTCACACGTACGGCCCTGGTAGCTCTTAACAGCCCAGCAGAATTATTTTTTTCTGGACTACAGCTCCCAGAACTCCCTAGCTTGGGGTTCAGGGCAGTTACGGTCCTGAAGCAAAATTTTTCCCCAAATGGATTGCAGAGGCTCCCAGGAACCAACGCCTTTTCTATTCCGCAGGACCCAGGACAGCTGCAGGGAGCCGCCGGAGAGGGACCTGGACGTGGAGTTGGAGCCAGTGGCCGGAGCGAGACCCAGCCTGAGGGAGCACCACCACCACCAGGGACGGAAGCGGAACTGCCAGGAACCAGCGCCTTTGCTCTTCTCCCTGAGGCCCCCGTGGCCGTGGCCGTCTCCCTGCACCCGGACCTGGACCTGGAGCTGGTGGGCGGCAGCCGGAGAGAGACCCAGCCCGAGGAAGCAGCAGCAGCAGGGGCGAAGGAGAACACAGGCTCCTACGTAATTCTGATCCTCGGATCTGTTTTTAAACAAACAACTCTTTGCCAGCCGGGTGGAGGAAACCAGGGGGGACTCTGACGGGGATGCGAACACCCAGCCAGTCCTGGAAGCCAGCGTGCCATGGACGTTCCTGGATGCCTTCCTCCCACTGGCATCCGGAGCATTTTCTTATTTGTTAAACTCTCTGGGTTCTTATTTGTGCGACGTTATGTGGGAGCGGCTGGGAAACTGGTTCGCTTCACGGATAGCGACGGTTCAACGGCGTCAAGCTGAGGTGGATTGAAACCACACAGCACCCTGAGGTCTCAAAAGTCCATGTGGTTCATGTCCACTGGCGTTTGTTCTGATGATGCCAGCAACAGGGGCAGGGGTTCTCTCTCCTGCGTATTTGTGATCACGGTTCCCAGTGGCTGGGGGTAGACTTACACCTTTATGACCCCATGTAGGTTCCTCCATCTGTCTCTTTTCCCTTTCAGTTCTGGCTCTTTTGCCCCCGTTCTCTTCTTTCTCTTGCCAGTGTCCTTTCTCGTCTGTCCGCCTCTTCCTAGGAGCCGTAAACTTTTCCCATTTACTGCTCCAAAGATTCTCCAACCATATCCGCTCCCATCCAGGAGGGAGGGGGGACCTTTTACTCTTACCTTGCTTCTACCATCCTTTTGCTAGCTCCTGCTTTTAAAAAAAAAGGTGTGCAGGCAAGGTTTATCATTTAACTGATGATCAGGCTGTGTTGATCCCATTGGCCTGCCTTGAATTGAGTCTCACGTGTTTAATTTGAGGCAAAGGGTGCCTAGGAAAGACAGCGTTGTTATGCAGTCAATTGTTGGAGGATAGCTTGGAATCAAGCTCATTACATGTATTGTGCCTTTCGTAATAATGCAGAAGCAGGGGGAGCCCGGTGCTTGTTTTCCTGCAACTAGACATCTACGGCATAATCTTGGAGGAGTTGGAGGAGGAGGAGGGGGGACGAGGGTTAGGGTTGCACCCTCATTACCCCCAAGATTTTCATTTTTTACCCCATTAGGGGTAATTTACCCCTGTTGCCTGACCACTGCCTTATCTTGACTCCCTATGGGCTGCACATAACAGAGGCAGAAAGAGGCTTTTCAGCAAGTGGTCCATGACATGTTGGACAATGGATCATATTATTTATACAGACCCAACCGTGAGAGCAGTTTAAAGGCTGCACATTGCTCCCGGTGAGATACAGAAGGTGACAAGACTCGCTGAAGCAGCCTGGAGTGCCAGGTCCCCTGTGCCAAGGGCTTGCTACTACTCACCTCATGCCGCTCACCCTTATTCATTGGGAGGAGAATGATGGCATCAGCTAGTGTGGTCAATGGCGCCTCGATTTGTTTCACTATAACCAGGCGGGAACTGTAGATGGCCAAGATGTAGCTGGAGATGTCGGCAGCCTGGCTCTCACTGCCAGCGGTAGGACTGGAGACTGGGAGAGGTGGAATAGGCAAGGAAGGCAATGTCAGACCGCAAGTGTTCCATGACACTGAGCCACAAATGCTGCATCAGGATGAGCCCTTGGCTGTGAAAATGATGTCCTAATGCCATGGATCTCCTTTTGCAGAAAAAATGAACATACAACACTCCCAGTAACTGCATATTCGTGTATTTGAAAGAGGCTGGGTACTAATATATTGCTTTTTTTAAAACATTTTTTAAACAGAGCCATTGCATCGAAACACTTTCGAAAACAACTTGTGATAAACGATTAACAAGAGCCCCCCCTTCTGTCTCCGAACCCCAAAATTACAAAAATAGTTACAAAACCATTTTTCCCTCCATAATACTATATGGCAGATATCACCATTCCCTGCAATTTATAATTTTTTCACATCTTCTTCTTTAGAAGGCTACATTTTGAAGGTTAAAAACAATAACCTTCTCAAACTTAATGGGCTTGGGGAAAAAAAACTCCAAAAATGATATGTTCTATATATAGCTTATAAACAGCAAATAAGGATGGTCAGGGTAGAGTCTCATTAACTGAGCGCAGATTTTACATGTTTGGAAAGATATGCAGTGGCATTCTGGTGAGCTGGTAACCCCTCCAGAGGCTGTGAGGGAATTGCTTGCTTTCACCTTAACTCCCACTTCAAAATCTCCCTGCAGCTAGAAATCCAGCATGTAAGGAATAGGCTTGGTTAATGATATGTACGCTTACAGTGTGCGGATAAGTGTTTATAATGGTGGACTTCTTTTTCTCTCAGCCTTCACATATAATGTGGGGTGGGATTAGGCCTTGAGGGTGGCACCCAGCACTCTAACCACTGTGCAAAGCTACCTGAGCTTTCAAGCAATGGAGCAGGAGATTGATTCTCAACTGGTGTGCCGTCACTCTGTCATCCTAGAGGGATGGGCTGGAGAATTGCCCTTACGAGGAAACCTGGAATCTCACCGTGATTTCCCCAACCCACCCACCCCCGAAACCATGTCCCCTCTCCAGCCCCAAGAGAGGCAGAGCCTGGCAATGTAACTTTCGTGGGTGTGGCGGTGCTGGTTTTTGGCCGGTGCTGGTTGGTGATTCTGAGAAAAGGAATCTGAACAATTTACAGTTTCCAGCCTCTGGAGAAACCCCTCCAGTTCTTTACGCCTTCAGAGCAGGCAGGACAGCACCCCTTCCTCTTCTGAATCCTCGCACCAGCCTCTCAGTACGTTTACAACGTGAATGAATACTCCTACCCAGTGCGGTGATCCGACCGGATTTGCACGCCATTGGAAGCCCTTCCGGAATCTCTAAGCAACTCCTGACTCAGTGCAGCATCAGCATCATCACAGTAATTTAAAAAATTCCTGCAGAATCCTGGCAAAAAGCCCTTATAAAAGCAACCATGGAAGAAAACAGCCGCCCGCCGCCACACCCTGAGCTTGTCTCTGAAGCATTCTCCGCTTGCTGACACCCGTGTATCGGGACCCCGCGGTCTTGTCCTGTCACACTGGCAGGCCCAGCTTCTTTTTCACAAGTGCAAAAAACCTGTGCAAATCTGGATGAGAGAGAGAGAAAGAGAACATCAGGAAACCAATATTTATCCCTTACATTTGTGTGTTTCCAAACGAGGAGAAGAGGAGGCTGCATTTTCGTGCTGAACCTAATGAGTTCCAGAAAGGGCTCTTGTGAGGAGACATCTCGGAAGCGGGGCAGATTTGGTTACAGAGTTTTGAATTTTGGTTAAAATCTTCTATCTGAGCAGCAGAAGTGCAGGGATTCACAGAACAGAATAGTTTCAAGTCCCCGATGTAGCCCGCCCTTTATTGATTTAGTTCTCTAGCCTCTAGAACTCACTCGCTGCCAAAAGAATACTAGAGGGTTTCATTTACTTACAGCTGAACAGATGTACAGCAAACTAATGAACACGGCTGGCTGACTTTCAGCAACAGGGCTCAAGAGACTCACTGACTTTAACAGACTGACTGCGAGGGGGGGGGAAGAGATACAGAGCAGAGAGGTGGGGCTCTTGGCTGAATTCAGAGGCGGGAAAGGAATGATAAGTGGGTGCTGGATGGATGGACAGTCCTCCTAGCCCAGGAAGGCCCCTCCCAGCCGAACCCACTAGAAAGCAGCCTGCGAGGTTGCAAAAACTCCCAACAGACTGGTAGACTATGATTCCCAGGATGCCTCAAGCCGCCTGTCCACAGGGAACGCTGGGAGTTGCCATTCAGAAGCATGCATTTGCAGCTCTGTGGTCGCTTTGGAAGGGGAGACACCAGTCTGAGCCGTGGTCAATGAATGGCTCCTCGGCCAGGAGCGCTCCCACAGAAGGGCATGAAACGGCCTCCCATCAGGGTCAGGCTTGTCCCTCTCTTGCCTGCTCTGACCGGCAGCATCACCGCAGGCTCTCAAAGAGAAAGAGGCCCTTTGGGCTGCCTGGGATCCTGCTTAACCGGTGACATTGACTTTTGTTGAGCCACTGAGGATAAAGGCTCATGGCTCAGGCGGGGTCTCCCTCTCCCCCCCCCAGGCCGGACTGGGAGGGGATGATGAACCCGGGTCTTTCCATACAGAAAGCACCCCATGGCTTAGGGGGCCCTTCCCTGACGCCGGCGAGGGAGGCTCCGGACGGCCAACTGACCGAAGTTTTCCCAAAGGAGCAATCGATACGTTCCCTGTCCTGAAAACAGATCTCTCTTGCCAATAATCCTGTACAATTATCTCTGGTGCTGGCCAGGCCATGCCAAAGCCCTATACTGTACATTTTCCTTATACAGTGGTGCCTCGCATAGCGAACGCTTCGCTATGCAATGAAACCGCACAACGATGGGTCCCGGGCCATCGCTGGAGCGTTCGCTCAGCGATGGCCCCTATCGGCTTTTTTCGCTATGCGATGATCACGCGGACGCGATCAAAGCATAGCGAACAGCTGATCGGCGGTTCCAAAATGGCCGTCGCTAAAACAAAATGGTGACCGCTGTTTTGCCTCGCTAACGAGGCATCCAAAATGGCCGCCGCAATGGAGAAAACTTGCAGAATGGTGAGTTGTAAGTCCATAGGAACGTATTAAATCAGTTTTAATACGTTCCTATGGGCTTTTTTGTTTCACTTAACGATGGATTCGCTGGGCGAGGGTTAATCCGGAACGGATTAACCTCGCTAAGCGAGGCACCACTGTACTGTGCAAATCTTGCCATAAATTGCTGATGCTTTGGACAGGGACAGTTTGATTGCTTCTTTGTGGGTTGCCATCTTTTTTTCTTTCTTTCTTAGGGGCGAGACAGGCCAAGGTCCGAGGTCGCCCTGTGGCTTTTTCATGGCTCAGGGCAAGTGAAAAACATGTCAGGCTGGCACTGGGAGAAAGAAAAACCTCAAAATAAAGAAAAAACCTGACCACCAGGAAGTGCAAGGGCTGCAGCCCGTGACTCGGTTGCCACCTCTTCTGGACTTTTTCAACAAGGAAGCTCTGCTAGGTTCACACTTCTAATGGCCGTCCAATGTTTTGAAGAGCTTACGGAGCCCTTTCCCCATAAATTGCTTAACTGACGGGCCAACGGAGGTTTTCCCTGGTCTGACCGGGATTTAGGGATTCAAGCTGCTGAGCCACAATTTTCTGATTACAGCAGAATAAAGCTCAGGAAAGCGCTTAATATAAAGCACTCTGGGAGCTGTTGGCTTAAAATTTTTAATTATGCTGATAACCACAAGTGCGGGGGGGGGGAGCCTATTCAAACCGTGACACTTGCGATGCAAAAGCGGGACTTACTTGAGCCAGCCTCCCGTTCCTCCTCGGTGGGCTGGCCGCGAGCGTTCCTTGCTCCGCTCTTCGGATCCACCTCTCCCCGTTTGACAGGGTGCCCCATCTGGAAGTCTTTCGCGGCATCCTCCAAATGCCCTTCTCTCTGGCACTCAGAGACGGCACCAAACCTGTGGCAGGCGGGAGAGGCCGGGCCTCGTGAAGGGTCCGCCGTTCCTGGCGCCAGCCCAGCGGCCGGCTGGTGCGCTGCTTCTCCATCCCAGCCGGCCGACTGGAGACAGTCACCGAGGGTGGGTCCCGCAACTGCTGGAGAGGAGGCAGTCTAGCCGTTTGGGGGGGGGCGCCGGGAGGGTTTTCTCTGGGGTGCCTGGCCTGCTGCCTTAGTCCCAGTAGCCCTCCAGCACCTCCACCTCGCTGTCCAGGTCGTAGAGGCCCAGGGCCGGGTCGGAGAGCACCCCGAGGTCCACCAGGGCCTGGTCCATGTCCTCGGGGAGGAAGACGAGGCCCACGTTGAGGGCGATGTACTCCAGCAGGAAGGCGTAGTAGAGGATCAGCACGTTGACCAAGAACAGGCCCACGTAGAACATAGAGGGGGGCAGGGGCGCGGGGGG